CAGTCTGTTATCTATTAGGTTTTTAGAATGTTTTTGTTGAGTTGTAGGAATTCTGGATTAATCCCTTGTGTCTGGGACAAATATTTTTCAGCTTACTGTATATTTTTTAAAATTTTTGTTTATTCAAAAATTTCTAATTTAAAGGTATAGCTTAAAATTTTTGTTTAGTTGTTTGTTAATCTTCACAGGATATTTTTTCATTACTTTTTAGAGAGGGTGGAAGGGAAGGGGACAGAGAGAGAAAAACATCGATGTGAGAAAGACGCATCAATTGATTGCCTCCCGAATGCACCCCAATGGGTGCCGGGAATCGAACCTGCAACCCAGGTATGTGCCCCTGACGGGAATCTAACCCATGACCCTTCTGTCTATGGAAGGCCAATACTCTAACCACTGAACCAAGCTGGCCAGGGCTTTTTTTTTTTTTTCTCTTAAAATTTTTGATGCCCTGGCCTTTTTATTTTTTTAAATATATTTTTATTGATTTCAGAGAGAAAGGAGAGGGAGAGAAAGATAGAAACATCAATGATGAGAGAGAATATTTGATCAGCTGCCTCCTACGCGCCCCCCACTGGGGATTGAGCCAGCATCCTGGGCATGTGCCTTGACCAGGAATTGAACCAATAACCTCCTGGTTCATAGGTCGACACTCAACCACTGAGCCACACCTGCTGAGCCTGTATGTGGCTTCTTAACATAATATTTAGCACATTTTTGCAAGCCCTCAAAATTGCGTTTTTTAGCTCTATATCCTCCATTTCTGTCATGTTTTTTTGTCTCCGCATTTTTTATGCTTTCTTGGTGCACCCCCTTGTGGTCTTTGTGCGCAGTCTTGTTCTAGTTAAGCCTTGATTGTTGTAGTTAATACTAGAGGGATTTGACCACCAGGCCGACTCTTAACATAATATTTTCAAGGTTCATCCATGTCGTAGCACGTATCAATACTCAATTCCTTTTTATTACCAAGTAATATTCTATTGTAATGGATATAATCATAGTTTTCTTATTTACTCACCAGTTGATGGATATTTGGATTGTTCCCACTTTTTGGATATTATGAATAATGTTGCTATTAACTTTCATGTACATGGTTTTTGTTGTTGTTTTTAAATATATTTTTATTGATTTGAGAGAGAGAGAAACATCAGTGATGAAATAGAATCACTGATTGGCTGCCTCCTGCATGCCCCCTTCTGGGGATCGAGCCCACAACCCAGGCATGTGCCCTTGACCAGAATGGAACCTGGGACCCTTCAGTCTGCAGGCCGACACTCTATTCACTGAGCCAAACCGCTGAGGGCAATGTACACGTTTTTATGTTGACATGTTTTCATTTCTTTTGGGTAATTTACTGGGTCATATGGTGGGGTTGCTGGGTCATGTAGTGACCTTATGTTTATTCATTTGAGGAATTGCTAGACTATTTCCACAGTGGCTATACCATTTACATTCTTACTAGCAGTGTAAGAGGAGTCCACTTTCTGCACATATTGCTGACAGTGGATGTTGTCAGTCTTTTTGATTGCAGCCATCCTAGTAGGTGTAGAGTGGTTTCTCATTGTGGTTTTGATTTCCCTGATGGCTAAGGTAATGAACATCTTTTCATGTGCTTATTGGCCATTTATGTCTCTTTTTTGGAGAAATGTATATTCAAGTACTTTGCCCATTTTTAAATTGGGTTATTTTTAAAATTATTCAGTTGTAATTAGCTTTAATTTTTTTTTTAATTGATTTCAGAGAGAGGAAGGTGAGGAGTGAGAGAGACAGAAACATTGATGTGAGATGGATGTGAGAGAGAAACATCGATTGGTTGCCTCCTGCTCCAGGGATGGAACCCGCAAACTGGCTATGTGCCCTAACCAGGAATCGAATCCACTACCTTTTGATGTATGGAATGATGCTCCAACCAACTGAGCCACCTGGCCAGGGCGTATTTATATATTAATTTATTTAAGCTTTGATTTTTAAAAGCAGTAAGATCAATTTTTCTTTCCTAACAAGAAATTGTTTTATGTGAATGTCCTGGAACTGAATCCCTACCTCCTAGATTGGTGATGAGGCTCTCATACCTCCTACTTTATTAGCGGCTATAAGCTTGTGACTGGTGACTGGGATACAGAGATGTAGAAATAATGTTTTCTATATAACACTGTTCTAGGTGCTGGGATCATTGTGTTTCAGGTATATTAAGCCATTATTCTGAGAGCCGACATTCTTGGACATGTTCGAAAGAATAACATAAACACTTGTGTTGATGATTTTATCATCATGCAGAGAATCTGATCGGTTAGCAATAAAGTTAGCAAATGTTTGGTTGGTGCTGAGGACACCTCAGGTCCCTGCTCTCAGGCATCTCCTGGATTAATGGAGAAGACGGGTAATCAAAATGCAGCCAGGATCCCACCAACTTGGCCACCATCTCACAATATATGTAAATCAAACCATCATGCTGTATTCCTTAAACTTATATAGCAATGTATATTAATTATGTTAGTTAATTATATGTTTGTGAATTTCACCTCAATTAAAAAACTTTCCCCCCACTTGTAACAAAACCTAAAAACTTGCTGAAGCTAGTCAGATATTTGGATATCTATGAGGCAGTTTGGGTCACACACCCCCCCCCCCTTTCTGTTGGCTCTGGTAATTGGTGTGGTGTTCTTGACAAAAAGCACTTGGCACAGACAGTCCCGGGCACAATATAAAAGCTCCTTCATTGTTAGAGGTTCTTTTTTGGTCGAGGAAGAAGGAAGATTTCCCTCAGCATTAGCCCTGCCTCCAGGAGTGTGTTTGAGGCTTTGGTTTCCTTCCTTCACTTTTTGTAGATACACTTGTCATTCAGATTTCTCGCCTTCCTTTCTGTGTTCTTTCGCATTGTGTAGCCCATTGCACCGGAAATTCTCACCCACCAGATTTCTTCCTTCTTCCTTCTGTATTGCCTTTCTGGCCTTACGGTGGAGCAATGTCCCTCCTCCCTTGGGCCCAACACTGGCCCATGTTTCCTGCTCTTCTCTGCTGATTCTTCTGTAGCTTCTTCTCTCTTTCTGTAGCTGTAATGGTTGAAGCAAAATAAGACACAGGGCCACACATAAAAGTAATTTTGCTGCCAACCTTAGGGTACTGGGATTATGCCTTCATGTTGGTGGAGGCTACTGAGCTTAAACAAGCCAGGCACAGGCTTTGTGAACAAATGCCACAAGGCAGTATGACCTAAGAAGCTGGGGACATCTGCCTTGCAGACTGAAAGACAATGGATAGCAGCATGAGCAAAGTTATGAAAGAATATAGACAGTATAAGTCGAGTTTTATAACTACACTAGAGGCCCAGCTCATGAACATGGTGCATGGGTACAGTCCCTAGGCCTGGCCTGCAATCAGGGCCATCTTCCCGGGTAGCTGGCAGCCGGCCCCGCTCCCCACCACCACCCACCCCCGGTTCCCCATTCGCCATCGGGTGATTGGAGCCTGCTGCCCCAGGGGAGGGACTGGGAGGTTGGCCTTTCCCGCCCACTTACTGGTCTGTCCCTTGATGCTGGTCGCCCTCTGTGTGTGGTGCAACTGGCGGGGCGGGGGCCTTGGTCTGGTGCTGCCTGCGCCTGCCACTACCCACCCCCAGTTCCCCATTCCCCATTGGGCAGTCAGGGGCTATGGGCTGTGGGCAGCTCCTTCGTTGAGCGTCTGCCCCCCTGGTGGTCAGTGCATGTCATAGTGACCGGTTGTTCTGCCGTTTGGTCGATTTGCATATTACCCTTTTATTATATAGGACTAGAGGCCTGGTGCATGAAAATTCATGCACTGGAGGGTGGGGGATCCCTTGGCCCAGCCTGCCCCCTCTCACAGTCCGGGAGCCCTCAGGGGATGTCCTATTGATGGCTTAGGCCCGCTCCTGGGCCTTGCAGCCACCGGAGCTCATAGCTACCGTGAGCCCCAGGCCTTGCAGCCGCTGTGGCATTGTCCGGATGGACATCTGGAAGATGTCTGCCCTAATTAGCATATTACCCTTTTATTAGTATAGATATGAGTAATATATATAGATATCTAGAATGAAAAGCCTTTGTATGTACTGTATATGCATAGAGAACATACCATGGCCATGTGGCAGGGGGCTAACAGCCATTATCCTGGACAATGGAAGGTTTAGTACTACTTTTTTGGCGTAGATGGTATATTTCTATGAAAAATAACAATAAGGCTACTTCTGTTCTGTGAGAGGTAAAGTTCCTTGTTGAATTCAATTCATGGAGATTGTAATTTTAAACTTAGATATAATTCAGAGAGTAGTCATAAAAGATTGGTAAACCAGTTCTAGAAATACTTATTTCCACTAATATTTCTTTTCAAAGGGAATATGATGGAATTCATTAATGTTAGAATATTTGTTGACTGTGCTATGAAAAGTCCTACAATGCAAATTGTTGAAAACAGTAGAGAGAGCCCAGCCGATGTGCTCAGTGGTTAGCATCGACATATGAACCAGGAAGGAGGTCGCGGTTCGATCCCCAGTGGGCGGTGTGCAAGAGGCAGCCGATCAACGATTCTCTCTCATCATTGATGTTTCTGTCTCTCTCCCTCTCCTTCCCTTGCTGAAATCAATAAAAATATATTTTAAAAAATAAAATATGGAGTCTAGGTGATAATGATATGTCACTGTGGGTTGATCAATGGTAACAAATATACCATATTATTGCAAGATGTTGATAGTGGGGGAAGCTGTGTATGTGCAGGCCAGGGCAGTTTTGCTTGCTGCGAAGCTAAAATGACTCTTATTACATAAAGTCTGTTTAAAGAAAATAAGCCAGAATGTCAATCTCAGACCTTTTCACAACTTAGCAGACATCTTGCTCTAGAAATACTGATTGATTAGTGGTTTCCCTAACGGTGGTAAAGCTTCAGTTGATATGCCACTTGAAATAAATTAATTTTCAAGTTAACGGAACATTCCTGTCCCAGCGGCAGATTCGTTTACCATGGTGTGTTCATTTCGATCTCTTTCTCCGCAGGACAACCCTCCATATGATAAGGGGGCCTTCAGAATCGAAATCAACTTTCCAGCAGAATACCCATTCAAACCACCGAAGATTACATTTAAAACAAAGATCTATCACCCCAACATCGATGAAAAGGGACAGGTCTGTCTGCCAGTAATTAGTGCTGAAAACTGGAAGCCAGCAACGAAAACCGACCAAGGTAAAGCATGCTCCTATGTCTTCTGATGGTGCTCTTCTGGGGCTGCTGCTGGGACAGGGGCTCCGCGGTGCCTTCTAATGCCTCGTCACACACAGTCCAGAGAAAGCTCACTTACGAACTCCCATGCACACACAAGTGCAACTGAGGTCCCACCAGTCCTGTGGCCATGTTGACCTACAGTTGGTGTCAGGTGTTTGAGGAGGCCCTTCCTGTGCTTGCATCCCAGTGAGGACACATGTAGACAGACCAGCCCAGTACTTGGTGCCAGTGTAGGGAGGGATGTAGGCACTGTTCCTGGGAGGTTCATGAAGGATTGTGGGGCTGCCTCAGGGGGCAAGGTGGAGTGGTGTTTAAAGTGGCTTCACACAGCAGTTAGCAAGTGTACTCAGACATGAAGGAAGATGGGAGGTTGTAGAGGGCCTTCCAGACTAAAAGAAGGGTACAAGCCAAAGCCACCTGGTGGGCAGCAGCAGAAAGCCAGTGGCTCAGAGTGGGTGGTGTGGGGGTGGCGGATATAGTTAGACCCAAGGGCTGTGTGCCCAAATGAAAGCACATAGTTGGCTTTAGCAGGCCTGGAACTCCCTGGAATTGGATGTGGCCGTTTGTGTCCATGTTCTGGGTGTCTGTGTAAGCATACATACCCATGGGGGTGGGAGAGTACTTAATTCAGTATTATTGTTGGCCTCCCTCTTGTCCCCTGAAAGTTACTAGATTTTGTTGTGGCCATATCTGGTTTTTATTTCCTAGTTCCAGAACTTTGTTTTGAAGTCCTAATATTATATTTTCTTATAAGTAACCAGCCAATCACTATAAGGTCTTTTTAAATTATAAGCATACATACCCATGGGGGTGGGAGAGTACTTAATTCAGTATTATTGTTGGCCTCCCTCTTGTCCCCTGAAAGTTACTAGATTTTGTTGTGGCCATATCTGGTTTTTATTTCCTAGTTCCAGAACTTTGTTTTGAAGTCCTAATTTTATATTTTCTTATAAGTAACCAGCCAATCACTATAAGGTCTTTTTAGATTAAAGAGAGTAGATAAGGCTGGCATTTTCTAGACTGCAGGTAGTTTTTCAGTGAATGATATAGTCATTTTTCAGTGGAACCCCTGAAAGATGGTGTTGAAAGCCTTTCACATGCAAAGTTCAGCCTCAGGCTCAACACAGCTGAGTAGTAGAAAGGAGTGGGCACTAAATGCTGAGTCAGAATAGAAAGATCTCCAGTGGATTTGGCATTTGGCCATTTTGATGTTTATAAAAGCTTGACAGTTATTTTTTTAAAACAATGTATTTGAGAGAGAGAGAGAGAGAAACATCGATTTGTTGTTCCACTTATTCATGCATTCATTGGTTGATTTTGTGCCCTGACCAGAGATTGAATCCACAACCTTGGTGTATCAGTACGATGCTCTAACCAACTGAGCTACCCAGCCAGGGCCGACAAAGTTATTCTTTTTTAAAATATATTTTTATTGATTTCAGAGAGGAATGGAGAGGGAGAGAGAGATAGAAACATCAGTGATGAGAGAGAATCATCGATTGGCTGCCTCCTTCACTCCCCCCACTAGGGATCAAGCCCACAATGCGAGCATGTGCTAGGGCCAACAAAGTTATTCTTAAGTGCAGATGCCATATATAGATATATATTAGACAGATTCCTAGCTCTGTGTTGGAAGGCTATAGCTGCACTTGTTTAGGAATGCCTTGTCAGCCACTAATGCAACTCCCAGAGCCGTTGCCAAGTTGTGTATCTTTCCCGCCCTTCCCCCTTCATTCCACTCTCTCTAAAAATCAATGGAAAAAATATCCTTGGATGAGAATTAACCAAAACAAAATTTGTATGGAGAAAATTAAAACAATTTAAAATGAAAGTTTCAACCCCCCATACACTATTAAAACAAATCAAGTAGATAAAGTTATAAAAAGGACTCAAGAAATATAACAAAGAGGATATTAGTTAACATTTTTATAAAGCATTCTATGGAACGTACCATTCACATTTTACTATGTGAGAATGAAGCACCCTAGATCTCCATAAAAAGGAAGAAATTATAGTGTTAACATCCTCTAATACAAGAAAACTGTCAATAAGAACAAAAATGAGATTTCATAGGCTTTACCCTCTGATCATATATAGGATGGGGCAAAAATAGGTTTACAGTTGTTCATATGGAAAATAACACAGTAATTAATACATAATAATAAAAGAATAAACTTTTGTGTACTCAGCTGTAAACTTACTTTTGCCCTACCCTCTACAGTGAGAGAATAGGAGGTAAATTTTTACTGTTTTTAGTCTTTCTTTTGGAAGAAAAAAGTGTTTCTGGGGCGCACCTGGCTCAAGAAAGAGATCAAGAAACCAGAGCCAGACATTTATAAAATAAAATGAGCCTGCTGTTCCATATATAAAAAAATAATGGGATGGGGCCATAGTTGTAGTTTGACAAGCAGTCATAGATATCAGTGTTCTCACTATCAAAACAAGCTAAGCTAAACTGGGTTTATTATAGTTTAGCTGAGGAGCCAGAAATGCACCCAAAGGAAACAGAGAAAGAATGAAATACTCATCAGAACTACTAAATAAATTTGAAAATATTTAGACTCGGTCAAAAAGTAAAAGCAAGTTCTTGGGAAAATAGCAAACTGCAGAGTGAGTATCTTTTGAAAATCATGTCTTAATAATTACCAAATGATTTTATACTAATGCATTGGATATTAAGGTATAATCATAGTAAGAAACCAAGAGCCTGAGTATCCATAACAGAGAGTGGGCAGGGAAACTCACCAGTGCTCCCCCACATCCGCCCCAAAGCATTTACTCCTGTGGGGTTCCCGAAATGCTAATGAAGCAGCCATTCTGCTAGGAAACAATTTCTAATTATGAACAAAAGACTAGAAGCCACCTATTTATTCTATCAAACTTAAAAGGAATGAAGAGGCTTTGCTAGAAGATTTATTCAAGCTTCTTAGAGTTTGTAAACTGGAAACACAGCTGGTCAAAACGTAGAAGTGCTGCAAAGGAGAAAGAAGAGCTGAGCCCATGCGTTTGCCTGCCCCTGCCCCAGGCATGCTACCATTATCTTCCTCGCTCCTACGTTCCAAGGGCCCAGGACTCGCCTTCCAGCACATCTAGGATTTACTGCTTTTGGGGGGAGCATTGTAGAACCCACCCAAGCCCATCGATGTGACTTCTGCTTCTGAAATAGACAATATACTGCTACTGGGGGTTAACCTCCCAGTGGTTTTAACCCCTAGTGCAGTGATGGCGAACCTGTGACACGCGAACTCATTTTTTTTTTTTGGTTGATTTTTCTTTGTTAAATGGCATTTAAATATATACAATAAATGTCAAAAATATAAATCTTTGTTTTACTATGGTTGCAAATATCAAAAAACTTCTATATGTGACACGGCACCAGAGTTAAGTTAGGGTTTTTCAAAATGCTGACACGCCGAGCTCAAAAGGTTCGCCATCACTGCCCTAGTAGTTAGACAGGGTGGTCCAATGACCCTTTCTCAGCTTGTTTAAAAGCTCGTCGGGGTCTTCCAGGGTGGACTCATTATGCATTTACATGCTGCAGGCCCGTCTTGCACCCTTCATTCTCATACTCACTCATTGACACTACCCTGAACTGAGTGCAGTTCTGGAACACATCACCCAGTCTCTGCCCTGGAGAAGCTTCACGCATGCACACATGAGAGAGAGAGAGAGAGAGAGCGAGCCAGGCCTGATGTCTCCAGACTGCTGGGAAAGGATGAGAGTGACTAGGGGCTGGGACATTCAGAGGAAGAGGAGGCGGCGGCAGCGGCATCACTCTGAACAGTTATCCACTGTTGACTGTCGTCCATCACTTTATCCTCATTACAGAGGAAAGTTAAGTGCTTGTGGTTAGAATTTTGGATAAATCAGAGGCCACTTTGTCTTAGAAGCACATAGATATAAATCAGTATTAGAGTCAGAGTTGCATATCTTGCCTGGGCCCTTTCTGAGACTATTGTAACCAGCAATGCCTTCTCCTTTTCTTGGCAGTAATCCAGTCTCTCATAGCACTGGTGAATGACCCCCAGCCTGAGCACCCCCTTCAGGCTGACCTAGCTGAAGAATACTCTAAAGACCGTAAAAAATTCTGTAAGAATGCTAAAAAGTTTACAAAGAAATATGGGAAAAAGCGACCCGTGGATTAAAATCTGCCACAATCATTCCAGCGAGTGTGAGCAGAGACTCCGAGCAGTGCATTCAGAAACCCCGAAAAGCAGGACTCTGTGGAAAATTGACACAGGCCACCACCTGGCGTTTGCTTGTGGCAGTTACTAACTTTCTACAGTTTTCTTAATCAAAAGTGGTCTTAGGTAACCTGTAAAGAAAGGATTAAAAATTTAAGATGTTCTAGTTCTGCTTTCTTTGTTTTAAAAATCACTGCTTCAGTCTACTCTAAAAGAATGGTGTTTCTTTTCTTGTCCAAATTTATCCAAAATCTTCCATTTACATTTAGACCTTAAGGTTTAAAATAAAAGGTTGTGGTTCCCTTTCTTCCCATGCCCTTTCAACGCCACTCTCTTGCATTCAGTTTCTTTTTCATTCATTCACTTTGCCAGACCCAGGCCCCACCTCTGCAAGGAGAAGAGACAGCTCTATCTGGTCTGGTGACTTCTCTTCTCCCATGTTGCAGTGCGTGTGGGAGTTCATTCAAGTCCTCCTGATTCCAATTTATAGCATACTTTAAAAACAATTTTTTTAAAGCAAGCAAACCACCATCTTCCCCAAAAAATAACTATGAAAAGGAGGCCCACTTCTTATGTAAAAATCTTGCCAATGTTATCATCATAACACTGATTAAATGGCAACCCTGATGTCTGTGTGTGTGACTGAACACTAGCCTGGCCTGGCCTGCCTGGGAAGACCCTGCAATATCAGGTCTGTGGCCACCCAGGGAGGGCCTGCCAGCCGGAGGACACTGCACTTGTGTGAGGAATTTCTCATCAGAGAGGCTCCTGAGGTCAAAGGTTTACGCTCCTCCCTGCAGCCATTTTAGAAGATGTGCTGGCCTTTACAGACAACGCTAAAGCCAGAATGTCCATTTGAAATTCCACGCTCACCAGTCAGCAAGCTCCATCCGAATGTGCCACGGAGCCCGATCTCCACCTCCTCAGTGCAGCAGCCCCGCCTCAGCCCTCCTTCAGCAGTTTGACCCTTTGCAGGGTTGGAATTGGCAGGACTCAGCTAGAGCCAGAACCAGTCCGGGGTCACCGATGCCCTGCTGGCCTCTCCCTTTGAAGCAGCCGGCCAGGCCAGCCCAGGAACAAGATGGCCTTCCCTCCCTCTGGACTCACAGCCTTTGCAGAGTCAAGCTCCACTTGAAGCCCACTGAGTAATATCCTCTACATGTGTTTTATATTGTTTTGACTGCCTTTTTTTTGTAGAAATAAAAATTGACCTTAGAATTTATCCTCAGATGAACTTGTAAGGATTTGAATGTTAATGTCTTTTTCAAAGCAAGTGGGACTGTCCCTGAAATAGTAGAGAAAACATGTCGCTGACACCCAGAGGAAGCTGCTGGTCCAAATGCCATGTGTCACCAACTCCGCTTCGGCCACTGGCAGCTTCCCTTCCTGACTCTCCGGGGTATTAGATTCTGTGGAGAAATGACTTAAACTTTGCTCATTTTAGTTTTAAAACGAGATCCTTCTAGGGCTATGACCTCTAAGACAGCTTGGTCTTACTGCACAGAACTGGGATGATGTGCAGGTTAATGTCGTTTAGTTGTCCGGGCACGTGGTCCCTGCAGTGTGTCACTGATTCAGCTGCTTTAGTCCAAGATACTCAAGGGGCAGGCTCTGGAGACTCCTGCCTGCTCAGGGGAGCTGGGCCAGCATTTCCACATCTGTCTCTTCATTGGCAGAAAGGTGTTGATGGACGTTGTTTCACTTACATACAGATTTGTAATAAAATGCCAAATTCTGTCGGAAGCTATCCAAGTAAGCCACCATCATTGCTTCTCTGAATCCAAAATTATTGCCATTCTTGGAAACCATCCCATTGCTTCGTGTTTCTACCAGCATAGTTCTGCCTGCCTGTTGTCCTTCACTTCTCTGTTCACCACAGGAGGTACCTTTTGTCAATGCCGGCAGCACCTCAGGGGACTCTTAGCCCTGGCATTGCACCCCTTGGTTTGTCCAGTCAGGAGAGGCCTGGCCCTGGGAAAACGAGGCCATGGGGGGTCCTTCCCTCATACCTGGGTGGCTTGCTCCATCCAGCCTTCAGCAGTTCCGGGTGGTAGCTGAGCCTTCAGAGCAGGCTTTGAGTACGCTGGTGCCCTGGCAGCTCTGAAATCAAATAAGCTGGGTCCTCGGGGAGGGGAGAGCTGTCACCCACTGTCCCAAGCCCACTCAGGAATTCACACCCGCCTGAACTGAACCAAAGTGGGCCAGGTCCTCCCCCTCCTCCCTGCCCCTGCCCACCATGGCAGAGAATAGGCTTTCTAAAGATGCTGCGATCCCGTTCTGCTGTCCTTAATAAAAATGCTCTCCAACACTCGTTTGGTTGTGTGGGTTTCTTCCTTACTGGCGGTGGGCCTGCACTCAGTGGTGCGGGAGGGGTGGCTGGTGCCCAGGTCGTAGGGCCTCTGGTCTCCTGAAGCTTTTGCCTGCTCCTATCTTCCCATGACCCAGCCTCCAAAGGAAGCACAGAAAAAGCTGAAGAGTCCAGATTATTGGGTCTCCCTTGGCTGTCTGGGGAGCAGACAGCACCTCTATGTATCACTTCAGTCAGATCAGCCCCTAAAGAGTGATACCCACATTCAGCAGAAGAGCACACTGGCTATCTTTTTATTATTTTTTATTGATTTCAGAGAGGAAGGGAGCAGGAGAGAGAGAGAAACATCAATGATCGTCTGCCTCCTGCATGCCCCACACTGGGGATCAAGCCCGCAACCCAAGCATGTGCCCTTAACTGGAATCGAACCTGGGACCCCTCGGTCTGCAGGCCAACACTCTATCCACTGAGCCAAACCAGCCAGGGCCAAACTGGCTATCTTTTGTTCTTGTTAATCCTCACCCGAGGATCTTTTCCCCCCCACTGATTTTTAGAGTAGAAGGGAGGGGGAGAGACAGAGAAACATTGATTGCCTCCTCCCTGACCAGGGCCAGGATCGAGCCTGCAACTGAGGTACGTGTCCTTGACCAGCATCAAACCCAGGACCCCTCAGTCCGAGGGCCCATGCTCTAGATGCTGAGCCAAGCCCGCTAGAGCGAGCAAACTGGCTATCTTGATTGAGGTCATGGAATTAATGAGGGTGTACCTGAGGGAGTCCTTAGATCATTACCCCCAGAAACCTCCTCCTGAGTCTCCAGGACAGTGGGCAGCTGAGGCATTGACTCAGCCCAGGGCCCTGACCATTTATTTATGTTAATCCTCACCTGGGGATATTTTTTCCATTGATTTTGATAAAAATTTGTTTTTATTGCTTTCAGAGAGAGAGGGAAACATCAATGATGAGAAAATCATTGATCGGCTGCCTCCTACACGCCCCACACTGGAGATCAAGCCAACAACCCGGGCATGTGCCCTGACTCAGAATCAAACTGAGTCAATTTGTGACCTCATGGTTCATAGGTCGATGCTCAACCACTGAGCCATGCCAGCCAGGCTCCATTGATTTTTAGAGAGTGGAAGGAGGAGAGACAGAGAAATATCGATGTGAGAGAGACCATCAATTGGTTGCCTCCCACATGCACCCTGACCAGGGGCCAGGGATCCAGTAAGTGGCTTGACCAGAATGGAACTCACAAGCCTTCAGTCTGAGGGCCAGTGCTCTAACCACTGAACAGCCGGCTAAGGCTTATTTTTTTAATTTGATGTTTTTAGAGAAGAAGGGAGAGAGAAGGAGAAACATTGATTTGTTATTCCACTTATTTGTGGACATATTGGTTGTTTCTTGTATGTGCCCTGGCTGGGGATCAAACCCACAACCTTGGCACATTGGGGCGATGCTCTACCGAGCCAGGACATCTGACACTATTTTCTATCAGCCTAGTTCCTTGCCTGTAATGACACCAGCTGAGAGCAGGCCTGCATGTTTCTGGGAGGGAACATCTTACCTGGGATTTATTTGACCAGGAAGCAGGAAGCAGTCCTTTCCTTTGATCATTGGCTGGGGTTCTCTGCCATGTCCCAGCACTTTATTCCCTTTGAACCTCAGGACAACCCCTTGGGCACCATTATTCCAATTTTTACAGAGGAAGAGACTAAGCATCTGTGACAGCCAAGGGCACATGGCCTGTGTTCTTACACAGTCTAGCTCCACTACTGGTCTCTTTGAGCCCAGGCGCAGCCACAGTTCCCCCTTCCCCAAAGCCAGAGGCCTGCAAGACCCTCTCAACTTCCTGAACTCTGGAGTTAACATTTTCTTGCCTCCCTTCATTGTTGTTGGGTTGTTGTTGTTTTAATTGATTTTAGAGAGGAGGGGAGTGGGTAAGAGAGAAAAACATTGGTGTGAGAGAGAAACCTGGATCAGTTGCCTCCCGAATGCATCCAGACCTGGGATCGAACCTGAAACCTGGGTATGTGCCCTGACCAGGAATCAAACCCAAGACCTTTCGGTGCACAGGATGACACTCCAACCAACTGAGTCACACTAGCCAGGCCCTTCCTTTGGTCTAATTATTCAGTTCAAAATATGGGCCTTATTCACTCCTGTGCCCACAGCAGCCTGACTTCTGCCACCCTCTAGCTCCAAGGTTCCTCTGGCAAGGGCCTCAGGACTTCCTCAAGGCCAAGTCCATAGGCTGGTGGCCTCACCCTGCTCTTGTTACTTGGCAGCACCTCAGTGCCCCGCCCTGCAGGGCAGCCACCTGACGCAGTAGAAGGCAAAGCCTGAGTTGGTCTGAGTTCTTCCGGCCCCAGCACCGAATTGGCTTCTCTCCTTGCTTCTCTCATGCAACGTGGAGGAATGTCACCAACCTGAGGACTGGAGCTGAAGTTGGGACTTCAGCATAGTGCCTGGGCCGGGCAGTACTTGTTAATGGCTAATCTGGGTGCTTAGAAGTGTTTTTTGGAAAACTTTTTTTTTTTAATTGATTTCAGAGAGGAAGGGACACAGAGAGAGAAACATCAATGAGAGAATCATTGATCAGCTGCCTGCTGAATGCCCCCCACTGGGGATCAAGCCCACACCAGGGCATGTGTCCTGACCTGGAATAGAATTGTGACTCCTGGTTCATAGTTTGATGCTCAACCACTGAGCTACACTGGCAGGTGACTTCTTTTTCAATAAAAATTGAGATTATAATATACCTCCTAAAAAGTATCCAGGTGAGACATTTTTCTCACACCTCCCAAAAGAAAACAAAAGCTAAGCATGAACAAAATGAGAGTGAAACTTGTTTTATATGTCTTTTCTGGAATAGTGACCGGGTTTGGACCCTGGGAGTTGCTTTTGCCTGCCCCTGTGTCTGTAACGGTTTTCTGGGCACAGTTTATAAACCATTCAAGTTTTACAAGACACATTACTTTATTAATATAGTGATCTCTCCCCACTACACCTAAACAAAGACGGTGCTTACGTAGAAATGTGAAGAGCAGAAAATGTTTGGCAGGCTCCATGCTGAGATATCACAGGCTGACCCACCTGCAGCCAAAGGTCTGGCTATCACACTGAGGCATGAGGATCTGGGCAAAGAGGTGGCATCATTCTGCCCAGGGAAGTCACAGAACCCCCTCTAGGGTTTGTCTGTGGGCTGTGCCAAAGCTCAACCCTTGCCACGTTCCTGAGCACTAAGGCATTAGTCCTTGGCTGTCAGGGTCATGGTTGGGAGGACTCCAGGAAGGTTGCTAGAGTGGCTTCACCAGGTCTCTTGGACTCTAGGTCATGGAGGGCACAGAGCTGCACGCCATCCTGGGCCAGCCGGGCCTGCAGCGTGGGCTCTGTGAGGACACGCAGCTCATGCAGCCGTTCCCAAGAGCAGGAAAAGGCGTCGGGGCCCTCACCGCAGCCTCCAGCGGGAGGCACACTGGGGTAGCCTGGGTGGGCCATCAGCTCCGCTGTCAGGGAGTGACCTGTGGGTGTACCTTCCAGGGCCCGAGCCAGTGCTCCTGACACACGATGAGCAGACATGTGCCGGCCACAGGTGCTCAGACCCACGAAGGCATCCGTCCACCTGTGGATACCCAGGCATCAGAGCACAGACGAGCAGGACAGTGATGGGCAGGGCTAGGCCAAGGGCAGATGAGAAAGGTACTCAGCTAGCCAGCTGGACCCACTGGGACCTGAGCCAGGTAAGGAACAGGGCACAGCGGTTTGGGGGTCCTCACCTTAGGCCACTGCGGGAGAAGGGGCCCACAGCAGCCCGGGCATCGCGCTCCACTGCACACGCGAAGGCGCGCGCAGGGGCCTCCAGCCAAGTACAGTCGCCCAATCCTCGCTCCAGCGGCAGACGCGTGAAGCGCACCCCGTG